AAAAAAAACTAATTTTCATTCAGATCAAAAAAGTCCCAGTTGAAGATTCCTTCTTTCATAGAAGAAGAAGTCTAGTTTGTAAGTGGGTCTAATTTTTTTTTAAAATGCTGGGTGATCAATATGCAGCTTTGCACTCTTCTCTGCTCACCAAGAAAAATAACCAAACTTTTATACTGCTGGGGGAACTAGTACTAAATTCCTAGTCTGATACCAAGAAAAGTACATTTCTCCCATTCTTGGGAGAGTCTACTTATATGACACTAAATTCAGTATAGGGTGTAGGGAGTATGGCCTGGAAAGTAAGACAACCCAAGAAAAACCTCTCTACCCATTTTCCTCTCAAGATGAGCCTACATGCCCTTTGTCAGTGACAATACTACCATCTTGCGTTGATGTTCAAGTACTACAAGTATCGGACACACACACACACACAAAAACAAAAAACAAAACACCCACAAAAAAACAACACCCCCCCAAAAAAAACACCACACTCTTCCAAGCTTTGACTGCTCCTTGACCTTGACAATCAGATTCTGAGCCCGGCTTCAGGAAGGCTCAATCCAACTAGAACAGACTTACTCTGTTTTGGACCACTCTTTGGCCAACACAGAAGGTACTGATGTCATGTCTGAATTACTGAGAAGAGTGATGTAAGACAACAATTCTCTAGCAGGGTTGATAAATGGTCAAAGTGAGAATGTGTCAGTGATAACACAATGAAAAGCAGGTAGCTTTAAAATTAAGCAAAATATATTTTAAATTCTCCACAGCACATATCCTTTAACAAAGGCATCACATACATGCTGTAGTAACTGTTGCTTGATCTTTCCCCTCTCTTCCATCTTCTGATAGGTCTCTCAGATGCATGCAGCAAGTTGGGTAGTGAGAAGGTACAGCAATGGGAAAGCTGCACCCACTCTGCATGCACCCATACTTCCCTTCAGCACCTCTTCAGGAACGAGCTGGGCCACAGAACAGCTCCTTCCAAGTCCAGAAGGGATGGTCTGGCATCTCTGAAGGGAAGATTCAGTCCCAGCTATTGTAATAGACCAGGCTCACTCTGTAACTGGTGAAAGCACTGCTGAAGCAGAAAAGGGGAAGTTGCTTTCCAGCTGGATTCCCTCAGTGTAATGGTAAATAGTCCTGAAAAAATGCTGCTGGATGTAGATCAGGAGGCTTTTTTAAAAAACCTAATCTCACAGAGCCACAAACAGGAAGGTAAAAGTTTGTCCAAACATGAACTAGAAGGCTTTCCTTTTCTTCTTTTTACCACCAGCCACTCTATTCCTGATACCAATAGCTTCTTCTGTATCATCATCATCACCATCCCGAGATCGCTTCTTCTCTCCCTGCTCCCGCAGCTCCTGCAATGCAATCAGGTGAATGACCAAGAGTTCTGGCAGACAAAGAAATAAAAAACACAAGTGTAAGCAGAGGGAATGAGCCACCACGCACCATTCGTGCAAACCTCTGGGCCTCAGCCACACGTTCTGTTAACATCATGACCTCCTCTTCTTGCGTGGGGAATGCTGGCAGTTTCTTGCCAATCAGGTGTTCAATGCGCTGGAACAGCTCTACATCATACCTGGAGGGAAAAAAAAATAAATAAATAACAAACACTGCTTGAATCTGCCCTTCCAAGAAGGCTGCAGCTGTTTTTACCCACAGACATTGCTCCTCATCTTCATCCCACAGATATTAATTTGTGATGGTGGTTCCAGAAGCAACTTTGCCTGCACCAAAAGCTGCCATCACTGGTGGCAATTTCACTGACTTAACTCTTTTCAGAATTATTTGACAAAGACTTAAATACATATCATTAAATAAGAAACTTTTTTTCATAAATCTACGCTATGCATTGCATAATATACAGACACATTTCTATAATTCAAGTTATTAGCTCTGCTAATATAATCAGTTAGCTCTGATAGTTACATGCCTGCTTCTAGAATTTATCCTAGATCTCTTTCTCCCCCCTCCCCAGTTTTTGAATACTCTTCCTTTTAAACACATCTCTAGTCTCAAAAAGAAATAGTATTTCCTTCTTGCCTAGGATAAGATCAAATATAACCTGCTCTGAGATACAGCAGGGGGGAAAAAAAAACCCACCATGTTCTAACACTTACTGTGTAACAAAGGTAATAGACTTGCCAGATCTCCCAGCTCGAGCTGTTCTCCCAACACGATGAATATAATCCTGAAAGCAGTAAGACATGCACATCAAGTCAGGACCTAGGCAGACTGCCATATGATTTTTTAATTCAGGAAGGAAAAAGCTTGGGGAAAAAGCAGTTTAAAATATTTAATCCTAGCCCTGGGTGCAATATTAGGATCTTAAATGATGCTGGTTTTATAGACATTTATTATTGGAAAAGATAAATTTATTTAGCTTATATTTAGTCTAGCTAGAACTAAAGAGATCACCTGATGGTTCAAAGTTGGAAGACAGAAGTGATAAATGACCACTAATGGAGCTGTCAGTTCCTTGGGAAGGTAATATTTAAAATAAAAGGAGAACAACAGCCCCATTTTCAGCCTCACTATCTACCACTCTTTGCCCATCTTCCAGATATTATTCTACCAGCAGATACAGTATTGACAGCAACAGTGGAAGAGAGGATGAACGAGCTGTCTTCCATTTACAATGCGTAGTGTCTTCAACCACTGCACATAACAGCAAACACCAAACTTTGAGTCAATAGTGTGCTTTCTGCACTGGGTTGGGGAACAGTGGCATCACTAAGAAAACACACAAGTATGTCAAACTGAAAAAATGCGATAGAAAGGTGAAACAATCTTTCTTGAGCAAGTCTTCACTGAACATAAGGGGAAAAGCATTTTAAACTTTTATTACAAAAAATGGCAGGACCTGAATTGCAGAAAGATAACTACCTGTAGCCAGTAATATGTACGACTACTTTCAAAACCTAGAAGGTCTTCAATAGGATTTGAGGAGGATGGTGCTGGCCTCTTTTCAGTGGTGGCCACTGACAGAACTAGAGGAAACAGACGGAAACTGAAGCATCAAAAGTTCCACAGAAACTTAAGGAAAAATTTCTTAACAGTGAGAGCACTGGAACAGGCTGCCCAGAGAGGTTGTGGAGTCTCCTTCTCTGGAGATCTTCAAAACCTGCTTGGACACAGTCCTGCGCCACGTGCTCTAGGTGACCCTGCGTGTGCAGGGGGGTTGGACTAGATGACCTCTAGAGGTCCCTTCCAACCTTAGGCATTCTATGATAAAACAGAGCGCATACTCCATGGAGAAATGGAACGATAGAGTCTGCCACCCTCCTCTGCCCCCAAACATAAGGAATCAATTCTAAAATCAGATCTACCCATCCCAAATTGAAACATCAACTCAATCATGGAAGCTGCACCAAACTATCTACAAGAGAATGAACTAGACTTCCAGTTAGCAGAACAAAGGACAAATCTTTGTTTCCTTGGAGAGATTACACTTTCTACTAACAGGAAGTCTTCAGTCACCAAAAACCAGCTCACCTTGGAGTGGGTAGGAATATCAAAGTTTATGACCACATCTACATGTGGGATGTCCAGACCTCTGCTTGCAACATCAGTTGCCAGCAAAATAGACCGAGCCTTTGCTTTGAACTTGTTTAAGGAGCCCAAGCGTTTATTCTGGAAGAGAATAAATTAGCTTTACTAAAACAAAAGAAAAAAAAAAAACAGTAATAACTTCCAGATCATATGCTCTTGTTGAAATACTGTTACAGAAGAATGTGATGAGGGTTTCTCTCTTGCTCTCTTCTCCCCACCCCAAGAACTTCACTTTTTCTAATGTATCTGAAATATCAGAATATCAGTCACAGCATTCCCATTACATCAAATACTGAGAGCGCATCCAGTGCACCTGTGGATTCTTTCTCCTTCAAGGCAGCTGTGATTCAGTATGGTAAAGCCCCTTTCCCAAGCAATACATCTCCTGTTTCAACCAGACTGCGGCCTATACTCATACCTGACTCATCTGCCCATGGAGAGGGATGGCAGTGAACCCCAAGTTGCGGAGCAGTAGAGCAGTCCTCTGAGTATTGTTACATGTACTGCAGAATATCATGAAGGAGTTTCCAGCCAGTTCATTCAGGATATAAACCAGGTAGCTGTCCTGCATGGGAGAGAGAAAGAAAAAAAAAAAAAAAAAAAAAAAAAAAAAAACGGGGAGGAAAAAAAAACTTAGAAAAAAAAAAAAAAAAGACACAGAGGACAGGTGATCATATAGACATTAAAGCAATGATAAGTACAAACTGGGGTGGGGGGGAAGATACTTGGCAGAGGTAGGAATGACGAGACACTCCGAAAAGGCAAAAACAAAACAAAAACACACAGAAGTTACATTACCTTGAATCTAGAGGGGATGAAGATATAGTACTGCTGTAGCTTTTCAACTGTTTGATATTTGGAAGAAACTGCACATTTAACAGGATTCTTAAGAGCAGCACGCTGGAGTTTTTGTACCTGAAACAGCAAAGTAAGTTACTACTAGGAGGCCAGAGATCTTGTCACAGACCTATTTCTAGGTGTGTTCCCACCTGTACCAGGCAGCCTACTTACTAATATAGCCCAAAAGAATTAAAACCAGGTGCTCTGCTCTTACCTTCTTGGTCATGGTGGCAGAAAACAGGAATGTCTTTCGGTCTCGTGGAATCACTTTCAGCAACTTATCCACCTGTAGGGAGAGAAAAAGCAAAGGGAAGTGCTGAATGGAAAAGCAGTGAAGACATGAGTTCCCTCCAAGTAGAACAACCGTCCAAATGAAGGATACTGTATGTGTGCAATTTAGGGATTACATATAAACAGTAGTCCAAAACTTCCTCTCTTCCAAAGGGAGGATGCAGGCTGATACCATGCTAACACCTGGACTGCAAAAGTCCAACAGTGCCAAAAGCAGGCATCATATCTGTGGGAAATCATGTGCTGTCAACACAGCTATTGCATAACATGGTGTCAGGCACTCTGGAGAAGCCAGGAGACTTCAGAGGCAAACTGTCCCCTACAGGTCTGTCAGAGATCTGTAACTCTCCTAAACTCTATTCTCACTAGAGACTTCACTGCACTTATTAGAATGCAGACACAATTTGCTATGAAGCTCCAGAGGATGGCTTGACACAGTATTTACTGCAAGGAACCCACACGCTGTTCTAACAGTTTCCTTTAACAAATTCCTACCTCTGTTTCAAAATCCATATTGAGGATCCGGTCAGCCTCATCCATCACCAGGTACTTCAGAGCTCGTAAATTGAAGCCCTTTGTGTTCTCCAAATGATCAATTAGGCGGCCAGGAGTTGCTACCAACAAAATCAGAGGCAGCAAATTAAGAATGAAAGCAAGAGAAATTCAAGCAGACAAGAGTCTCCTGTTAAACAAATTGAATTCCTTCCCCAAGACAAGGGACGCATGACTATTTTGGGGCAAACACTTTATCATAAAATAGCTTCATTTCAAAACTTAGAGTGAGTTAGGCTTTTGGGGAAAAAAAAGAAAAAAAAAGACAACTTGACTATAAGATGTGTACTAAGAATAAAGGGACCAATGAGACTGAGTTTTTTAAATATTTGGGATAGAAAACTACACCACAGGCAGAGTAGTAGAAGTGTTTCAGAAAAGCTGTGTATTATAGAAAGATTAACTAGATAGCAATCAGATCACAATACAGAAACTCTTGCTCCTCCTTCAATTACACAAAAGCTTTGGCATTCTTGTCTTGGCAATTACAATTTGATCATATACATTCTCCATAACCATGCACATTGACTTACCAATTATAATATGTGGTTTCTTGGCTAAGGCTAGAGATTGAGACATGGTGTCAATTCCACCCACAATAACCGCTGCAGAACAAAGGACATAATGAAAATCTCTCAGTTTGTCAGTTTAGCACAAGTTGATCCCCATACCATGGTGTGCTCCTTGCCTCCACAATTACAATGCAAAGCTACCCTTCTTAACGAGAATTTCCTTTATGCTTTGTCTTAGTACCCTTCATCTTTCCAGGTATGTTAGGCCATACACTAGACACCCTTGTTAACTTCAGCTATTTTATTTTCATGGTTAGAGAGCTGCAGGCAGAACTTGTTCCTCACAACCTAACTCAGTCACAGAATTTAAGAATTCTAAAAAAAATACCCCCACAGCTTTTATGCTTGTGGAGAATATTTGCAGCACCAGTGTGGAGTTTGAAGGAATTTTTAACTATATCATACTATACAGTTGAGCTTTATGGAATTTAACTGAACAAATGCTTACTATTGTGAATTTATCATGAGCTTGAGAAAATTCTCTCCTACTTTCATCTTCAACCATTTGGACACACAATGTAGAAAAGCTGCAGACCCCTCCGTAAGAAAAGACCATGCATCACAAACATGGCTTCTTTCTCAAACTTGATACCTTGTCTGCTTTCTAGCATGAAAAGCTTTTCTCATTCCGCATTCAGCTTTTCCATAAAAACATTCTTCACCTTTTCTTTTACACTCTAATGCTGTTGATTCTTACCGTTGGGCAAAGCTGCTCCAATATAACAAGGTTACTCACCACTGTGGACACCAATGGAGGATCCGAGAGCTTCAAACTGCTCTGAAATTTGGAAGGCCAACTCCCTTGTTGGTGTGAGGACAAGAGCAAACAAACGCTGAGGAGTTTCCAGCAGTGCTTGGAGAATTGGCAAAGCAAAAGCTCCTGTTTTTCCAGAACCTGTTTCTGCCAGGCCAATGATATCTCTGCCTACAAGGAAAAGCAAGGAGGGAAAAGACCACTTGCAAATTAGTACTACAGAAAGAGGTCTTCACAGAATTGTGCAAGAAAACATGGGAGTTCTTTAAGGCTAATAGCAAGATCCATCTCAGCGATTATGCAATGAAAAAGAAATACGGGATGTTTACAGAGAAGAAAAGACTAGAGCAGGGAATTTTAAAATATTTTTAAAACATTTTTAAAGGGCAACTTCACTTGTGTAAAAGTAATAATTGTGGTCCCTTTTCCTTTTATTCTCAAATACACAGGTTTTAGGTCCTGGAAAAGCTTTCCTAGAATATTGTTTTAAATCCTTTGGTCGATTTACAGCCTATTGATCATATCTAGATAAGTATTCCTTAACCCATTATTGACAGTTTACCAGCTTCCAAGGAAACTCTTGAACACTAGAGTAGTTTAAGTCATACCAGCTACAAAACAACAACACTGCTAAATTCATGTTCCACAAGCTACTGTCTTTTATGTGCCAGAGATGACAACAATGACCTAAAACAACTGGCAGTCAGGAAAACATTCAGGGAGTAAATCCCTGGCTCAAGATCAATGCCCATTTCCTAAAACTAAGAAGAACATGTTGCCTACAGGGAACACCTTCTCTGATATTCAATCATTACTAAGGAGAATCTAGTATATGGATTAAGAAAGGAGCCTACCAACAGCTAGGCATCAAGACAAAGCAGACACCAAAAGCTTACTCCCGTTTTAGACTAGTAGCATTACATTTCTGCTTGATACAATTAATACACACATTTTCATATTCCAAAGGCAGAAGTGTTTGCTCATTTTTTCCTTCCTTGTAATTTCAGCGCACTTATAGAAAGCCATTACAGTTCAGTTATTGCTCATTCCAGAAATCTTATTTTGAAGAATTGTCTGCTTAAAACAAAGCAGACAGCACAAGCTACATAACTACTAAAAGCATGTCCAATTTCAGGTACACACTGCAGAGTTCTACCAGACAGAGTTGCTATCCCAGCTGTCCTTGATTATTTCATAAAGAAAATGGACAATGCTAACTAGCAATTCAAATAATTAGTAACAATTTCATTTAATGCAGACCACCAGAACTCAATAGCAGGAGCGAGCACACAGTAATCCATACATCCATCTGAAAATTTGAAATTGCAGACAATGCAATATTACAGATTTCATCTAGTAAAGACACAAGGATGTACAGACACAACTTCTATATAGATCTCTATGACAATGAAGAAATGAGAATGCTCTCATTTATGCCACTTACCTCCCATTCAACAAAATTCATTCCCATACAGCTTCTGGAGCACTCTCACATTTAAGATGAAAGGCAAATTACTTACCTTGGAGAGCCACTGGAATAGCCTCAACTTGGATCTTTGTTGGTATCTTCCATCCTAACTGGTCACAAGCTTCACATAGGACATCTGTCACTCCCTGAACATTAGTGGGAAAAAAAGGAAAGAAAGACAGACATCATCAGCAAGGAACCCTGAATTGAATAATTCATTTAAATAACACATTGCCACAGAGTCAAGCTGGTCCCCAAAAGAGACAGAAAGCAACATACCCTCAATGCAAATACATGAAAGCACAAGTTGCTCACACTGATGCCTCCCAATAACATCACAAAACTGTTCTAAACGATTAGTGCTGACTGCCATTAGTAACCAACTAAAAAAGCATATCCTTTTTCATAAGATATACGCAGCCTCCTGCCATCTCTCCAGCCTCCCTCTTCCCCGGGAGAAACACGGTGAACATAGAGAGAAGGGGGGGTGGGGGGGCGGGGAACACGCCGGAGGAAGACAGGGACAGGGCAATTTAAAGGAAAGACAGTGGCCTGGGGAGGGCAGAGCGGCGCCGCGATCCCGCCTAAGTCCCCGGGACTCCTCCTCG